CGCACTAAGTTAATTTTTAAGATTTAATATGAAAAAATAAAGGAGACTTATATGGTATAATGATGCTCTTATGTATTTAAATGTGTAACCCATAAAATTTAAATTTACTTGAATAACATTCAAATTATTACCACCGTAACACATTCTCATGCATGTGATTTGATGTGATTAGGACAATATAATATATGAAAATGTAAAACTTTTGGTATTGAATATGTAAATACAAAAAAGTTGTGGTATATAAGTAAAATCAACAAAGTTAATATGTATAAATATATACACACACACACATGGGGCATAATCCAATTTAAACTAAAACCAAGGCAATCAAAGGTTCCCTCGCACCGTCTCTTGACAAACCATTATGTATTCCGCTCTCCTCTCACACCATGAGGATGAAGAAGAAGATTATTTTGTAAGAGATAATAATGATGTTGACGAAAGAAACATGATTTTACTAAATTATAATAATGATGATTTTTTGGATGACTAATTTGATTTCTCATGAAAATATTAGACTTCCAAAAAAAATTATAATTTTTTGAGTTTTAAGTAATTAGGTGTTGAGCATTAGAATTCAAGTATTATTATTATTTTTTTGTTTTTATTACCATGTTGTTTTATCTTTCAACTTAGTAATCTTTTATATTTATCTATATTTTTGTTAATAATTTTTTTTTTAAATTTTACACCATGTTTAACACGGCGTACACTGCATCATGTGTTATGTGTTATGGCTTCACGGAGATTTTTTATGTTATGGTGCCCCATTCATAATTCAAAAACATGTCCCACACAATTCTAAGCATGTCGGGCATTTGTCAAAGCATCTCAAAGATTCACTTTTAAGCATTAAGGTTGGATAGATGATTGAAGTTGTCTTATTAAAATGAAAACAAATTTTATAGTTTGCCACCAAAAAATAATAGTTAACATGACACAAGCAACCATGGCATCCATCTTTTCAGAACCAAAATTCTGGTCGGTATGTTAAAATTGTGTCATTATTGTGTAGTGCCGACCTCGATATAATTTTCACGACTCGACGATCACACCGAAAATAACTAAGAAATGTTAATCAACAAGGACAATCGGCAATTAACACTCAAATCAAACCCCCCCCCCCCCCCCCCCCCCCCCAACCCATCAAATTCAAGTTTTTACACAAAAGAGCAATTTGGTCATTTGCCTATCTTAAAATATCGGTTTTTGTCCATCTTGAAATATCACTTTACCTTTCGTTGCCCTAGTCCCTCTCACGTTGAGTTAAGGGGGACAGTTTGCCCTCCATTCAAAAAAAAGGTCGGTTCCGCCCCCAATGATGATTGATCCGAAATGTAAAAAATAATTGGCAAGTTCTCTCATGAATCTGACGACATAAATATGAAGTCTAAATAACTTTGATTGTCATCAAGGTGATTTTGATTGTCATTGAGGCGGCCTAAACACCGCCCATTTGTAAAATTATCTGCATCCTAAGCACTTTGAAATGTGCAGATGGCAACTTTTGTGAGGCAGAATATATATATATATAATTAAAAAAGAAATTTATATTAATAATTAATTATTTAGCAAAAAATAAATAAAATGTTTAGTTATCTGTTTAAATGAGTATCTTATGTGTATATATATATAATATAATAGTTAATCAAATATTAAAATTTTATTTCAAAAGAGACTAAACAGTAAACTGGATGTTACTATATTATTGCATAAAGAATAATAAAAATCAAATGTAACCAAATAATCGGTTCCACATTCTTCCTCTGTATCTGCTGCTACTACACGTTAAGTAATCAACATTCTAATGAATAGCCTTAACCGAAAGTGTTCTCCTATTATTGGGAGGAGTAAATAACCATAAGGGTTTAGGCCTACGAGAAACCTCAAACTCCAGATCTTAAAATCCACACACAATAAGGATGAAATTTCTAGGTAATGTCTTATCTTCTATTCAATCTGTCTTCTGAAAATTTAACCCAAAACCTCAAGCAAACTATCTCCTCAATTATATTTTCCAGAGGGACTCACACAACAAATTTTCGGAGCGCACATATAGTTGCTCCATAATATGAAAGAAATCATTATGCTTTCATATAGATGGATGAACTACTTTAAAAAATATTATTTGCACTAAAAATTACAATTTGAAAAATAAAGCAACAAAAACCTCAATTAAGCATTGATGGTAAAGGCTTCTTCGTTACTTGTTTTCCATAGATCTTTCACTCAAACATTGTGCTTGCACAAGGAGCATGAACTACCTTCAAAAATTTATTTACTTAAATCTCATTAATATCCAAAGGTTTCATGAATGCAAATATTTTAGGATATCTTAATGGAAATGAGAGGAAAAACCCTGCATGCACAATTTGGAATAATCACATACACAACTTGGTTCTTCAAATAAGTTAATTGACATTAGATAATCAGAATTCATTTAATCATCAATCAAAAATAATCAAACACAAACTATAGGCCATTAATTACAGAAATAAGATTACAAGGATAAGGTCAATTATTTGAAAGGAAATCTAAACATATCTAAAGTTGATAAATCTTCAAATTCAAAGCTAATATTATGGGAAAAAAGTCTTATTAAAAATAAATATTAAAAAAGGATAAATTTAATTATAAATAGAAATGAGCCTAAAATGCTTGAAAATGAGCTCATTATAGCTTAGCTATTGCCAGGTTTGACTCCTTGTAGCTAACTTATGTTTGATTTGATTTTGCACAAAGACCAAACATGATCAACTGCACGTAGTTATTATCAGGTTAGACTCATTGTAACTGGTTGACTGATAAGATTTTCATAGGATGCCATGGTCTGTTTATCAGCATGTACCGCATAACACCTTTCAAATGCAAACAAATCTCCACCAGGATTAATGTCCATATAGTCATCAAATAGATTATGGATTAGCTTTTGTTGTATTCTTAATCATCCTTTATCATCTAAAAAACGCCTATCTCTCCAATTGTGACTAAAAATCTATGCACAGCATTTTTTTAAGTATAACTTCATTTGAAATGACTAATTGTCGGAAAAAGACACCCACTCTTCAAGCCTCATTATGTGATAAGAAAATATAGCTTTCCATAAGGTAGATTGGACTTTATGTAACAATATTAACCCTATGTTAAACCATGGTTTACTCAGATTTAATAGCTATAAATTGTCTACTCTCAAGTAACTTGAGTATAATAGAGTAAATGTATGTGTCAAAGGTGCATGTTCGAGGAGATCTCAACCTGTTCAATAGTAGAGAGTTGGATGTAACAATTTTCGCTAAATATTTCAAAGGATAAAATATGAACATCTATAGTTCAAAGATATTTGATATTACCAACAAAAGCTCAGAGCAATGGCATGGTCATTAGTTGTCCATGAGTTTCATTTTGACGTAACAAAAGATATATAAGTCTCTTAAATTTAATCTTATGAAAGAAATATCCCTTGCTAGATAATGAATTTCTTTTCACTAAGATTCATATGCATCTTGTTATTAATACTCGACTATTTTCTATGGGGGATTTATTTTGTAATCCGCTAAGAGTAGAGTATATTATGGCTTCCCTTAGTCAAACACTATAGCTTTTCTTGAGGTTGATCTTTCCATCTAACATGATAAAGAAATTTGACTTGGATCAAATGATAATGGTTCTCAAAAGGATATGGCCTTCGAAAGCATTCTAACTATAGCTCACATTGCAAAATGCATAAACACATCAATGGTAGTTGTTTCATATCTCATCATCATTTAAAAACATTTTGAGTACTTTCATTTTTGTGATTTAGAGAATGTTAAAAATATTACTTCTCTTCATCTTAGGGAAAATAAGGAGTCCCTAATTGCCCAAATCACCACTCTTTTTACCAACATATATGAGTGCTCGTAGTTGTAAGGATCTTAGCAACACTAATAGTTAAAACGAGCCTTGTCTCCAAAATGCAAGAAGATGCGCTCCTACAATTGGCAATTCAATTTACAAGGATGAGAAAATCCCTATAACAATTACCTTTGATTTTATGAATGAGACACCGCTTCCCCAACAATAAAAATTACTCATAGCTCTGCCATTGATGAGCATATCCCTCAAACTCAACTAGCTCCTATGGAAGCAAAGTAAAATCCTACGCCCTATATCCGTCTTGTGAATCCTCACTCCATTTTCGAGTTTGTATTAATTGTCCCTCCCTCTTCAGATGGCTCTTATTATCATATTATCATGATGATTTCTCCTTCTACTTTCTGCAAACCTAAGGGTAAGGGAAACTATTTCCATTGATCTCTTAGCTATTGTTTCGATCACAATTGTTTACACCCCTCTGTAGTACTTTGTCGAAGAGATTCCTATTATCAATGCCAAGATTGATCTAGTTGCACATGTGATTCCTAATTCTAATGAGGATAATCCCATAGTTATTGATGAGTTTCCTACACAGAATAATTATGAGTACTAAAAGGATTGGAAAGATCTTGTTTGCTTAAAGCATGCAAAAAATCTCACCCGTCAAATTTATTTGACATGAACTTTGATTATTTCAAATGAGATGAGGTTTTGACTTCTTTAGAAATTCAATTGGCTGATGTCACTAGCTTTGTCATCATCAAGTAATTGTAGTAATTGGGTGATTGCTTGCCTCATTGGATTTCTTCCCACAAGTTTTACTTTTGCCTAATTTTTAGAGACTTGCTCAATATTCAGTTTAGATCCTTCCACCTCCTCTTGCTTTGGCCTCATTACTCTAGTCTTTTTATCAAGTTGTTTTCTTTAGTTATAACAACTCTTTCGCTGCTTATCATTATGCAACTATTGTTTTCATAATGAAATAATTTATTCACAAAAAGAATCGTAAGGGGCACAATGATTAATGTTCAAGGGCAGGAATCAAATAGTAGAACAATAGTTAAGGAGTTCAAAGTTGTTAAAAAAAGGCTGCAATCATACGGTTATCTCCAAAATACGAAACATCAAACAATAAAGCAGCATACCCATCCAGTTGCCATGATAGGATCAGAGTACTTGGAAACCCAGCGAACCATGACTGTTCCAATCGCCATACTTTGAGCTGCCAGAAGCATCCACCATTCACCACTTCCCCAAATCGCTAAATCTCTTCCTTCAACAGAAATAGCTGGAATCTGAAATGTAAGCATCACTAATTGACAACCAAAAAAAAGCATATTTCCAAGCTGGTATTTATAAGATTAAATTTCACTCCCACTAACAATAAAAAACAATTAGGGATGCTGGATTGAAGTAATTGAAGTGAAACCCAAAATAAATCCAGTACGAACTATCCAGCCCATAATTAGAAATCATTAGTGCGCTATAATAGTGAAAACAAACTATTGAAAGTGTACTATTTTTAAGAGATGAACTTTTCTCAGTTCAAATACATCATGCCTTCAATTACATATACACACTCAAAAAGGAAAGAAAAGAGAGCTTCCAGGTAAACCACATTGTTGTCTAAACAAACCAACTCTTTTGAATCCCTTCTTCATTATAGTGTTGTTTTCATCCGAATGGATCTAAACCCCTCATAATCAGAAAATGTTAATCTGATACCACCAATATTGTTCATGGCATTCTTTTGATAATTCGAACATGTGATCAGAGGACAACAGAGAAAACTTAACCTTTGCTCCTACTGTCCTACACCGAATCTCTTGCTAAAACAATAGAATCATGAGTGACAAATCTAAAGCAAGCTTGGCAAGTCAAGATGCAGAATCATGAATACACCATGATAATTAAAGCCAACTGTATGGAGAATAGTTTTAAAAAAAAAACACATTTTAAAATGAAAAGGTGTATCATGACCCCATTTTAGATATACATGAAACCAGAATTGTAAATTCCAGTTCCTTCAACTTTTTACACCAAAACCGATACTTCTACGTTTGTTCTTAGGTCTAGTGTTCAGCCGACCCAATTAACAAACCAAAACCCAACCCTTTAATCCAAAAAAAAGAAGCGTCATAGTGATAATCTATTGTATTCCATAGTTGAGACAATGAGACCGATATATCACTAAAGTGGCAACTCATTTTTCATAGGCTGACTCTCTTGCTTAATCAATACATGCATTAATTGCAAACTTTCTGCCAGCTTTCCAGTTGTAGTACACAATTTTCTGTGCGAGTAGAAAGTCATTCCGTTCACATATAAGCAAAACAGAAATCAAGAATCCCATAATATTGTAATGGAAGAACTTATGCAATTTAGAACTGGTGCATTGAAGAGAGCATAAGTGAACCTCAAGGAGCAGAAGCCCGACAACACCAAGCACCAGCCCAGCAGCACCAACGGTACCAATGGACTCACCGAACAACAGTGCTGCAAGTATGGAAACTGACAAAGGCTGAGAATCAATGATGACCTACATTTTCAAGTGAGAAGAGAAGTCAAAGAAAAGATCAATAATACGTGAGGACTAAGACAAATTATATTCATTATTATAGAAAAAAGTTCATATTTAAACCGCAGCTCAAGGTTATATGCCTACACAAATAATGAGATTAACTGAAAAAGTAATCCTCAGGGAGCACATACAATGAATTGGTTGTCTGTGCTTGCTTCGCCAAAGCAACAAGTAATCATTACAGACAACCACAGAATAGCATGCTATTCCAATCCAAGTACATTCCAAATGATAGTTCATAAATGTATTCACCAAAACAGCCATTACGAATCTCAAAGCAAATCCAACGGCCAAGGACAATGGTCAGACAATTGAACCACCGGGCTAAAGGAGTGTAATATGAAACGGCTATCCAACGACTGACTGATCGATCAAGTCGACCGACTCGCGATGTCGACGGATCCAATCGGAGGACCACGCTTACGGTCTCAGCCGCCAAGACTTCTAGTAAGGACGTCCGGTTACAGCTATTCGACCAATCCGGCTTTACCTCAGTGGGAGTGCTCGTCTGAGTCGACAGAATTCAAATACGATGACCAGCTCATAGCCATTCTATTATACCTAAATTGTATCACGAATCTAATATCACAAATCTATTATTAAATTAGCGCATTAATTGCATTAAAAGTGGTTTTCATAATTGCTCCCTCCTTTCTATAATTGTACACTTATGCACCTATAAATAAGGGGAAAAATAATGAATAAAGGGAATTTTCCCGGCCTCACTACTTGGATTTCTCTGATTGTCCTACCTTTATCTTTCTTTTTCTCCCGGCTCCAAATCTCAAGGCATATATTTTTGAAAGACAACTTAGGATTCAACACCCTAAAAGGTGGTGCGGTGAGCGTGGACATGCCCCAGATGAGAAGCGGAGCCAACTACGAATGAGAAACCATGCAGAAAGACGCAGTACCCATGGAATTTAATAGAGAAACGGTGCGGCGAGAGATCCAGAAGGAGGTCCAGGCGCTACAAGCACAAATAATGGACCGGTTTGAGGCCCACCAAGCGGCCATAATTCAGAGGAACAATGAACCACCATTCTCGGAAGGAGAATCTCGGGAAACTTGATCTCAGAAAGTCCCTCGCAAAAAATCTGTCTGCGCCCAATGGTCAGTTTGGTGACCGACCGGCCGAGGAGCAGTGGGACTCCCATCCCACCGACAGTATGGTGTCTACGTCGGTGATCAAGCACTGGGTGGATCGTGATTCGTGTAGGAGCGCCCGCCCAGCCTACTGCAGACCCTTCTCTCGATAAATCCTAGAAACTATACCCCGGCGAAGCAAGGATTCCCCATCTGGATCCTTACAAGGGGAAGAGCGACCAAGCCGACCACATAGCTTCCTTCGAATCGTCGGTTGGAGTTCTGCAAATCGATGACGCTATGAAGTGTCGACTCTTCCTGACCACACTAAATGAGGTCGTGCTTCGGTGATTCAACAACCTGTCAGATGAGATCATCCCATCCTTCTACGAATTCAAAAAACTCTTCTTGGCGCACTTCGCCAACGTGCAAAAGCCAAGGAAGGATACTGAGACCTTCTCCATATCAAGCAGGGAGAGAATGAGAGCCTGCGGGCTTACATCATTTGCTTCCAAAAGGAAATACTGGAGGCGAAAAACCTGGAGCCTCTCATCGGTCGGACCACTCTGAAGCAAGGAATTTTTAGTAAACGGTTCAAGTACGATCTAAACTTGCTCAAACCAAGATCCTTTGTCGGAGTCTTAGAACTGGCCAACGACCATATCGCCGCCAAGGAGGACCTTACGAACTCCTCGAAAGCCAAACTGGAATCATTCAACCAACAGAAGCAGAAGCGAAAGGATCAGGACAACAAGAAGCAGCAGAAGAGCGATAGCGCCCCGAATGGTCGACAGAATGGCAACCCCCGGTCCCGAGATAGCTGAGGGAGTAACCGTAGCAGCAAGAGTCAAAGGTACCACACTGATCAGCAGTCAGCTCAATATTACGAGCGACCGCACATATATCGGAAAATGCAGAATTCAATGCCCCTGAATGTGTCGATGGTCGAGCTAGTCTATGTCATTCAAAAGGACTATTTCAAAAAGGCCCCTTCATTGAAAACCACACCAACCCTTCGCAATCCAAACAAATATTGCGCCTACTATCGGGACCATAGGCACGACATGGAGGAATGTCGCCATCTCAAGAATTTGGTGAAGAAACTCATTTAGGCCGAAAAACTGAAGGAATACGTCGTTGTCAAAGGGGAAGGTCCCGATGGAAGAGCCCACAGACAACCCGTTCGAGCGAACGAAATCCACCTGATCGGGATCATTCGGACTATCTTTAGAGAAAGCGAATTCATCCTGACGGTTCACTCTGAAGAGACACCGATCATGTCTTGCGCTCGTAATCATCCTCCAATCAATTTTACAGATGCAGATCTCCCGCCAAAAGGAAACTCGTACAATGAGGCAATCGTTGTCACGACTTTCATAAACAAATAACTACTAGGTGGGCAGCATCTTAGTCGACACCGGAATTACGATAAACATTTTATTCAAAACGGTATTCAACAAAATGGGACACAAGACCGACCGGTTGGCAACACCAGTCGATCTAGTGTACTGCTTCTCCGACAAAAAGAAAGAAGCTTTAGGTGTAATCGCTCTGGCCATCTCGTGGGGTGATTGAGAAAAACATTTTACCAACACGAAGGACTTCGTGGTGGTGGAGTCCCCACCGACTTATAATGCGATCGTCTGCCAATCATTGCTGAATAGCTACCAAGTAGTGGCTTCAACGTACTAAGTGGGTATGAAATTTCCCGAAGATTGAGAAATAATCACAGTCCGAAGGAACCAAGAGTAGTCCAGGAGTTGCTATCTTCGAGCGGTCACCAGCGTCGACCCGAGCCACTCGACATTCAAACCCATATGGAAGAGGTTCTCGAGACTAGAGAGGCCGTCCTCCAAGTCCCTGCTGATCAAAACTCTCCGCACGCATCGAGGCGTGTTCGCTTGGACAACAGCAGAGATGACTGGAGTCCTAGTGCACGTCGCATGTCATTGACTCAACATCAGCCCCTTCCCTCGACCAGTGCAACTGAAACTTCGATCGACCGCAAGGACCTTGGCCGAGCCAATAGCAGTAAAGGTCCAAAAGCTAAAGGAGGCAGGCTACATCTGAGAGGTGTAGTACCTAACCTGGCTCCAAAACGTGATAATGGTTCGGAAGCCCAACGACAAATAGAGAATGTGTGTCGACTTCATTAACCTCAGTGTTGTCTGTCCGAACAACAATTATTTCCACCAAGGATCAACACACTGGTTGATGCGACAGTCGACTATTCTGCGATGAGTTTCCACGAAACCTTCTCTGGCTATGGCCACATAAAGATGCATCCAGCTGAAGCAGAGAAAGCCGCTTTTATTACCGGACAAGAAGGTTTTTGTTTTAATGTAATGTCTTTTGGGCTAAAAATGTCGGGGCAACCTATCAACACCTTATGAATGTAATTTTTTCAAGTCAAAGAAAAAAGTGTTGAGATGTATATCGATGATATCCTAGTAAAAAATAAAACAGCTGAACAATATATAGAAGATCTAAAAGAAACTTTCGAGACCTTAAAAAATTTTAACATGAAGTTGAACCCTTTGAAATGCACCGTCGAAGCATCGACCGATAAATTCCTTTGCTTTTTATTAACCCCTGACGGTCTAAAGGCCAATTCGGAGAATGTTCAAGCAAACCTAGACATGCTCTCCCCTCAGAATGTCAAGGAAGTCCAGAGACAAGCCGACTGAATAGCTAGCAGGACTTGGCAGATTCATTTCCAAATCTGGTGATACATGTGAGGCATTCTTCAAAGCACTAAGGAAAAATCAACACTTCGAGTGGACAGCCAACTACGAGTCAGCATTCAAAGGCCTAAAAGACTCGCTGGCGTCACCACCGCTGCTCCAAATTCCAAAAAAGCCGGCGAAGGAACTGTCACTATATCTCGAAGTACGGCCGAAAGCGATCAAGCCGGTGTTGGTCAGGGAAGATGTGGGGAAGCAATTTCCGGTGTACTACACAAGCCGAGTGCTCCAAGGCACCAAAACCAGATACCCGATTATAAAAAAACTAACGTTTACACTAATAATTTCCTCTCGCAGGCTCCAACCCTATTTCCAGATGCACCCGATTTGAGTAGTCGCCGATCACCCACTGAAATTCGTACTCACTCGGCCAAAACATTTTGATCGGCTATTATAATGAGCAGTGGAGCTCAGCGAGTATGACATCAAGTATTTCCCCCGGACAGTATTCAAATCTCAAGCAATAGCCACCTTCTTGGCGAACTTCTCCGAGACAAAAGATCAAGACTGGGGAAGCCCCGCCAGCAATAGAATGTGGGTTCGAAGGAGCTTCCAAGCAGGCCACCGCCGGATTAAAACTGGCACTGAGCAGCCCGGCCAGAGAGCATGTCTACCGGTCAATTGTGGAGAGTTCAAAGTTACAAATAACCAAGCAGAATACGTAGCGCTGATCGTTGGGCTTCGCTGGGCTTACAAAATAGACGCTTGGGATATGCTGGTAAAGTCGCACTCCCTGTTAGTAGTTAATCAAATCAACGGAGAGTTAGAATCTCGGGAGGAGCTATTGACCAAGTATCTCGCAAAGACAAGAAAGAAAATAGGAAGGATCAAAAACATCTGGATAAAGTACATGATCATGAGGAAAATCACGTCGTAGATATTCTGTCCAAACGCATCTGTTTGGGCGGGACTCCCCAAAGAATCACTCAACTTGCAATTGAGGAATCGAAAGCAATGGAAGTATCTATCAAAGGAATCAAAAGCTAGATGGATCACTACATCCTCTACCTAGAGACATGAAAAGTATAGGAAAATGTCATAGATCTGAGATGCCTCAAAATTAAGGTCGTGTTGTACAGATAATAGAAGGAAAACTCTTCAGGCGATCAGTGACCTCAGTGTACCTGA